GAAAAATCAATCAGATACATTGAAATAATTAGGTAATTATCTCTTTGTGGCAACTCCGGCCTGACAGCTAGCGAGCAACAGACCGCCTGGGACGCATGCTGAGTCAGCGCCTGTAATTTGTCAGACTTCCCCGCCCTATAGCGGGCAATATATGCCACTTACGATTTTTTTATTATTTTTCCCGTGATCAGTGAACACAAATTAACAGGTTAGGAAGAATTTTTTTTTTTTTTTTTTTTCAAAATGACATGCGCCTGTGGGGATGACAGGATATTAAACCCCAAGCATGTTAAGGGTTAATAACAATTGTTTTAAAATATTTTATGAATAATAATTTAGAATTTTCTTCATAAAACCGAATCATTTTAAAAGAAAGTTAAGATTTAATATACAGTATCACTCTGGATGATCGAGGTCAGTGGCCTGGTCGCCATGTGAGGGACTGCCGATGCCAAAACAAACCCAATACCGACCGTCGGTAATATCGACCACCAGACCGGTATACGAGGCTCCAGATACCGATCTCCCAAACCGGCAGATCGGTATAAAAGAGGCCGTTAAATTGAGTGGATACTGTAGATACAGTTAACCCAACCATCTCTTTCCTGTAAAATCCCTGTAGCTTGATCATATAAACTGAGTAAATTCGTTACACAGGATCTTCCAGATCGAAAACCATACTGTCTGTCTGATATTATATTGTTTTTCTTCAGGTGTTCTACCCATTTAGTTTTAATTATTTTTTTCCAATATTTTGACAATTACACTTGTCAATGATACAGGTCTATAATTGAGGGGGTCATCCCTGCTGCCGCTTTTGTAGATTGAAACGATGTTAGCCTTTTTCCACATATCAGCTACAACTCCTTTACACAGGGATGCATGAAAAATCAGTTGAAGTGGAATACTGAGCTCAGGTGCACATTCCCTCAGAACCCATTGCGAAACTCCATCTGGACCAACTGCTTTCTTCTTACTTAGCTCCTTGAGCATTTTTTCCACTTCGTCTCTAGACACCTCTATGTGCTCTATGTTATTCTCTGGAATTATTATTGTCTGGTTCCCTGAAGATTTCATTTTGTACAAACACACTTTGGAACTTTTCGTTCATTGCTTCACGCATTTCTTTTTCATTTTCCGTGAATCTATTTCCCATTTTCAACCTTTGAATATTATCCTTTACCTGCAATTTGTTGTTTATGAATTTATAGAATAGACCTGGTTCTGTTTTACATTTGTCCGCAATACCATTTTCAAAATAAATTTCTGCCTCTCTCCTCACTGACGTGTAGTTGTTTCTCGCATCTTTGTATCGCTGGTATGTTTAGGTGTTTGGCCTCTTCCTATATTGATTCCATTTTTGTGTCTTTTGGTCTCTGGCCCTCTCGCAATTTCTGTCGAACCAATCCTGTTTCCTAGTTCTGCATCTCTGCTTTGGTAGAAATTTTTTTGTGCCTTTATCATATATTTCACAAAACTTGACATACATCTCATTTACTTCCTTGCCTAGCAACAAATCTGTCAAATTATACTCACTAAAAAAATTTCTAAGGTCGCCATAGTGTCCTCTCCTGAAGTCAGGTTTTTCAACTGCTTCAACCTCCCTATTTTCTTCCAGATTATAACGCATTGCATACTTTATTCCCAAAAAGACATGGTCACTTTTACCTAAGGGAGGAAGGTACTGAATGTCATATATCTCTTCCTCCTTCCTGGTAAATATCAAATCTAGCATGGAAGGTACGTCCCCGTCCCTCATCCTCGTAGCCTGTTTAACATATTGATGCAATAATGTTTCCAGGATAAGGTCTACAAATCTTCAGGTCCAAAAATCCTCTGTTCTGGCTTCATATGCTTTCCAGTCTATAGATTTTAAGTTGAAGTCGCCGACTATCAACAGTCGTGATCTATCTTTATCCGCTCTTACTATAATCTCTCTCATTATTGTTATAAGACTCTCTCGTTTACTATCTAGCTCCTCCTTTGTCCATGTGTTGCTTGGCGGTGGACTATAAGCATTTATGATCATTAGTTTATCATCCTCATGGCAGATTTCTAGTGCTATTATGTCAGCTTCTCGTGGATTGGATATCATTATTTCGTTCAACTTTAGGTGTTCTTTCACCAGCACAGCAACGCCACCACCTTTCCTAATTTTTCTGTCCCGTCTCCAAATTGAGTAGCCCCTTGGGAATATGACCTCATTTAAAATAATATCTACAAGTTGGCAGCCACTCTTGTTGTTTGGCCTCACCATACCAACTTAGTGGTTCGTTATGGTGAATGCATATCTAGATAGGTATATACAATGTGAGTGTGTATATAATGTAATAACAGCAAAAACACTGTTTGATTTATCAAAGAATATAATATAGATGTGACATATATGAGCCCCATAATTTTGAGCATAGAGATGTTCCACACATTAAACTATATAAATTCCACAAATTACACACTTGTAATATTATTACAGCAAAAAAAAAAGAAACAAATAAGAAACATAAAAATGATGTTTAAAAATTATATTCGCGGCAACTGCCGCCCCACGGGGTGGTGGGGTCGAGTGACCCCAAGAGCTTCATAGCTCAGGGCCCATATGTAATTTGATCAACTTCTCAGCTCCATCACAGCTAAAGTATGTCACATACAATAATGTTTTTAAGTTTCCCCGTGATCAGAGACAGTAATTTAACAATATAAGAGAAAAAAAATTTACAAAGAATTTATTTTTGGCGCACCACGGGTGTCATATTTTAACCATTAAACCGCTGCAAAACGCACATATACGATTTGACATGACTCAAGTTTTTAAAACTTGCACAAACACTTTCCAATTTTTTATGCATAATCAACTAGGTAAATGCTCCAACTTTGAATAAATGATTACAACGTAACTGAAAAAACAAGAGAATCAAAATTAATGTTAAAATTGAATATTGAAAACTTCAGATTTTCAAATCAGAATAAAAAATATAAACTATCACCAATTGTTTATTTGGTGTTAATATTCTCTCAGAACAGCATATGACCTTAATTTTCATCAAATTAGAAGATAGGTTTTCAGTATACAGTGGCACCTTGACTTACGATTGCCCCTACTTACGATAATTTCGAGTTACGACAAAAATTTTATCGAAAAATGCGACTCGACATCCGATGGTGAAGTCGACTTACGATATTTGTTAGTACACGTTCGGGTCGACCGAGCGTGTGGTTCCCGGTCACGCAGCCGACCCGCCTCAGTTTACTACAGCTGCCCGCTTAGTTACGATCGCGCCTATAAGAAATTTTGCCTTTGTGGTGATTTTTTGCATTTTGAACATTAAAGTAATAATTATACATCACACCACGAGTCCCAGAAAAGTCAGTGGTAAGGCTCAACATATGAGATCCCATGTAAGGATGACCATAGAGCAGAAACAAGAAATCATTCGTAAATATGAAGATGGTGTGTGGGTTGTTGGACTGGCTAGGCAGTACAACAAATCTCAGTCAACGATATCCACCATACTGGCCAAAAAAAAAGACATTATGGGTGCTAAAGTGATGCATCATTACAGACAAATGTTAAAACGAAGTGAAAAACAAATGTCTCTTGACAAATTTGTAGTGAGACAAACAAGCACTGAACCACAACCAGATCCTAGTGGTATTCAGGCAAAACGTAGGAGAGAGAGTACCCCCAGAGAAAACATCACTGCCTGATGTGATAATGGAAGGGGACTCCCCTTCCAAACAGTAACAACTCTCCTCCTCCACCCTCATCACCATCTTCCATATGCCATCAAAATCCCTCCATAAAGGTAAGATAAACTTAGGTACTGTATTGTAGTTAGAAAAAAACATTGTACTCTGTATAAAATGTATTTGTATGTTAATATTTTGGAGGGTGGGGAGCAGATTAATTCAAATCACTTTATTTCTTATGGGAAAAATTGCTTCGTCTTATGATATTTCGACTTACAATCCATCTCTGGGAACAGATTAGCATCGTAAGTCGAGGCCCCATTGTAGTTTACTGTAAAAAAAAATCATCAATATGACATTTGAAATATGCAGCAAATTTAGACCAAAAAAAATTATAACACCATATGTATAATGTTTATGAAAAATCCATTCTGAAGGGATTGTAGAACAGACAGTTGAGCACACAAGATGTTAAAATAGTGAGAATTGGTCAAAAACTGGAATTTTAGAAGCCCCTCTTAAGTTGGAACTCCAGTTTCAGAGATACCTTACCAAACCTTACAAAACCTAAACCTTACCTAACCTAATCCTTACCCAACCTAAACCTTACCCAACCTAAACCTTACCCAACATGCCCCTGTTACCTTACCTTTACCCAACCTATTTGTATATAGGGAGCCAGTCGGCCGAGCGGACAGCACACTGGGCTTGTGATCCTGTCATCCTGGGTTCGATTCCGGGCGCCGGGGAGAAACAATGGGCAGAGTTTCTTTCACCCTATGCCCCTGTTACCTAGCAGTAAAATATGTACCTGGGTGTTAGTCAGCTGTCACGAGCTGCTTCCTGGGGGTGGAGGCCTAGTCGAGGACCGGGCCGCGGGGACACTAAAGCCCCGAAATCATCTCAAGATAACCTTACACGGGTATGGTAACCTTAGGCAACCTAAACCTAGGCCAGTCTAACATGTAATGTCATGTACATGACTGTTCACCAGTGAATATTAAAACTTACCTAACATGGGTTGACTGTCCAAGATGAGGCCGAGTATGCAAGGTGGGCCGACTGTGCAAGGTGGGGCCGACTGTGCAAGGTGGGGCCGACTGTGCAAGGTGGGGCCGACTGTGCAAGGTGGGGCCAACTGTGTAAGGTGGGGCCGACTGTGTAAGGTGGGGCCAACTGTGTAAGGTGGGGCCGACTGTGTAAGGAGGGGCCGACTGTGTAAGGTGGGCCGACTGTACAAAGTGAGCAGACTGTAGGGCATAGTCTTGTAAGTCACCTGTAGGGTAAAGGAGGTCCATGATAAAAGTTGTTACCTTGTGGTGTGAGAAGAACGCCGATAACGGCGTGTACGTTATGATGACGTGGACGCGAGACAAATCACACCCGGACAATATGTTCTTTATGGTAGACGTAGTTTGGTGGAAGGTGTTTCCCTGTTGACGACTGCAGGAGTCTTGAGAGATGTCTGAACCCGGCCGTGATGGCTGTGGTTGTTGTTGTGGATACAAAACACTCCGTACATTGACAACATCGCACACTAATATTTTTACCACTTCGAACACCAGTTTTGGACGTTTCGCGTATGTGTACGTGTTCCATATTAAAACGACAATATAATGCTATTAACAATTAAAATCTTCTACTTAACAGGCATATAGTTATTAAATGAAGTTTAGTGACGTGATGGACATAATCCGGAGTTGGTAAGGACGCCGCCCGCCAGCGTAAACACAACACACCCGAATGCCCACAAACACGATACAACGCACAAAACACAACACTTTTGTCAGTTTTTGGATAAACTCCCTTTACATTCATTATGTGATAGATATACTTGTATATAATAATAACTATTATAAATAAGCGCCTAATATTTAATATTAATCAATAAAAAAGAAGTCAGAAGCTACACGCCTGTCTGTACATGTCTTTTGTGTAAAAGTATTTTGGGCACTCATGTACTTGTGCGCTAGCTGGCGTTCACAACTGTTCTCACCTACACGCATTAGAATTAAACAAACTAATTTATTTATTCATTTATATACAACAGTCGTGTCATAGGCAGCGTAGGGGATGGGCGTTTGAGGGTCCTCCCCTGCGTTTGCACTCGTTATCGTGGGTGTAATTGTACCTCCGACAGTTACGAAGCCTAATAACCAATCTGGGACACACACATACACACCAGGTGTGTCTGAAACTTGGTTATCACCTGCACTGGTGAATTACAAGTGGCATTTGTAGCTGTATTGCTGACGAGCGAGGGGAAGGTTGTTGATCAGGCCTCAGACGTCCCCTCCTCACTCGCCTGTTGGGCCTAAGCCACACGTGTATCAGGTACACGACAATTTAGCTCTTGCGTCACACTACCGCTGAGCCGTGTTTGTCTTGTTCTTCGATCGAAGACGTTAGTGACCACGAAACAATGCAGCCTCAGTTCAGGGGAGATATTTTGAGTCATGCCTTAACTCTCCCACTTCTACATTAGTTGATGTGAAATAGTGCTGTGACGATTGAGTGTGGTTAGAAACTGTGTGAATATACAAAGTGTAAGGGCACTGGTGTGGCACGCTCTGTTAGGCCTAGCATTTCGACCGGCCAGGGAATGAGGATATGGTGCCAGGAACACCTTCACGATCAACATGCTTATTTATTTATTTATTTATTTTATTTATTTATTTATTTATTTATGCATATACAAGAATGTACATAAGGAATGTGAGGATACAAATATGGTAATTACAGTCTTGTAAAGCCACTAGCACGCGCAGCGTTTCGGGCAGGTCCTTAATCTAAGAAAATTTTAAGGAGGTAAATACTTGCAAAATTATAGACAAAAAATGATAACAGATTACATGAAATGAAAAAAAAGATGAGAGAAAATTGTAGGTACAGTATATTAAAGCACATAGGCAAGGGGCCCAGAATGTGGAATGACCTTCCCAACCATGTTAAAGACTGTACCTCTCTCAACCAGTTTAAGATAAAAACTAAACACTACCTAATAAATTCCCTGTAATCTACCTCACTCCTCTATTGTCAACCCATGTCTGTTATTTTCTTTTTTTTTTTTTTTTTTTTTAATCAACACTGTTTGTCAACCTATTGTATTTGTGCTGCTTTTTCAGTCATGTTCCCCCTATTTTTTATCTTTATTTGTATTTGTTCTCAACACCTTTTATTCTTTATGCTCAATTAGTATTAAGTTCTAGATATTAATGTTTTTCTTGCCCGAAACGCATTGCGTAATAGTGGCTTTAGGCATTGTATGTACTAGCTCTATCTATATATCAATCCATTAATGTAACATCACTTGTATGTATATACCTTACCTGAATAAACATCTGAATCTGAATCTGAATCTGGTAGCTAAGATTGATTGCAATGACAGCTTGAATGGTAGTTGACAAAAAAATTGGTAGGCATGATACAGCAGAAACAATATAAGTAGTTGACAAAAAAATTAGTTGACAAGTTGTAGTTGACAAAAAAATTGGTAGGCATAATACAGCAGAAACAATATAAGATTGGTTGAAATGACAGCTTGAATGGTAGTTGACAAAAATTGGTAGTCACAATACAGCATATGGCTAGCACATAAAAGAAGACAGCAATGAACACAATGATAAGGTTGTTTGAAATTACATAAAAATTAGGAGATTGGGTAACACTAGGTACAGAGCAAATTTAAAGCTCAGTGTAGGAAACTAAGAAGATGAAGTTAGGTACTTTTTGGTTTTGCTTTTAAATAAGGCAAAAGTTTTACAGTTTTTCAATTCACTAGGGAGTGAGTTCCATAAACTAGGTCCCTTAATTTGCATAGAGTGTTTACACAGATTAAGTTTGACCCTGGGGATATCAAAGAGATATTTATTTCTGGTGTGGTGATAATGGGTCCTATTACATCTGTCCAGGGAGAGTTTCAGAGCATGGTTTGCATTTAAGAACAGGGTTTTGTAAATGTAGTTGACACAAGAGAATGTGTGGAGGGAGTTAATATTTAGCAAGTTTAGGGATTTAAACAAGGGAGCTGAGTGTTGTCTGAAAGCTGAGTTAGTTATCATTCTGATAGCAGATTTTTGCTGTGTGATGATGGGCTTAAGGTGGTTTGCAGTGGTAGACCCCCATGCACAGATACCATAATTAAGATAGGGGTAAATTAGTGCATAATATAGTGAGAGGAGAGCAGAGTTAGGAACATAATATCTGATTTTGGAGAGTATACCAACTGTCTTAGAGACTTTCTTAGTTATGTGTTGAATGTGGGTGCTGAAGTTGAGTCTCTTGTCTAGGAATAGGCCAAGAAACTTGCCATCATCTTTATTACTGATGTTAATGTTGTCTATCTGTAGCTGAATTGCATTTGATGATTTGCTTCCAAATAAGATGTAGTAAGTCTTTTCGATGTTTAATGTTAGTTTGTTCGTTGACATCCATAAGTGGACTTTTTTTAATTCATTATTCACAACATTATTTAGTGTATGTGGGTTGAGGTTTGAATAGATAAGAGTAGTATCGTCAGCAAACAGTATAGGTTTGAGAATATTAGAGACATTAGGCAGATCGTTTATATATATAAGAAATAGAAGAGGTCCTAAGATGCTGCCCTATGGCACTCCAACGGTAATTGGTAGAGTGGACGAAGTTGTATCATTGATGGTTACATATTGGTGTCTGTCACTAAGATAGGATCGGATGTAGTCAAGGGCAAGGCCTCGGATTCCATAATGCTGGAGTTTAAGTAAGAGGTAGTTGTGATTAACAGTATCAAAGGCTTTTCTTAGGTCAATGAAGAGTCCAATCGGAAACTCATTTTTGTCAAGGGCTGAGTAGATAACGTCAAGGAGACTAATGATTGCATCGTTGGTGCTCTTTTGGGACCGGAAGCCAAACTGGCAGGGGCTGAGTATGTCGAATTTTACGAGGTAGGAATAGAGCTGTTTGTAAATAATTTTTTCAAATATTTTTGATAGAATGGGTAGATTTGATATTGGTCTATAATTGTTTATGTCCGCCGGATTGCCTCCTTTATGGACTGGCGTTACTCTTGCTTTTTTGAGGATATCAGGGAAGGTGTGACACTCTATAGATTTGTTGAACAGTAGTGCTATGGGTGGGGCAAGGGCATGGGAGGCTCTCTTGTACACAATGGACGGAATTTCACTGGTGTTCCCTGCCTTGGTTTTTAGAGAGTGTATGATGGACATAACATCTGCCGGGCTGATTGGTGAAAGGAGAAGAGAGTTTGGATAGCTGCCTGAGAGATATGTGTTAATATGTGTCTGAGTCTGTGGGATTTTACTGGCAAGATTAGCACCAACCGATGAAAAGAAACTATTAAATTCATTTGCCATTTCTAAATCAGTTGACGGTATATCCCCATCCTTGTAGAGTTTTATTTGGTTATGTGAGTGTTGCTTAGTTCCTAGGATACTAGAGATAGTTTTCCAAGTGTTTTTCATGTTGTCTTTTGCTTCATTGAATCTATTCACATAATTTGCAAGTTTTGCCTTTCTTATGATACTGGTAAGCATTGATGAGTACCTTTTAGCTACTTCCTTTGAAACTAGGCCAATCCTAACTTTCTTTTCATATTCATGTTTCTTGTTGATTGAGTTGAGACTGCCACTTGTGAGCCATGGATTGTTTAATCTTTTGTCAGTTACTTGCTTTGTAAGAAGGGGACAATGAAGGTTGTAGAGGCTTAGAGTTTTGGAGAGGAAGAGGTTAGCTAATGAATTTATATCATGGGTATTATTGAATTCAGAATCCCAGTTAATATTGTGAAGTGCCTCTGTAAGATTGTCTAAAGCTGATTCACTGTGTAGCCTAAATGAAAGTTTCTTGCTTTTTGGTGGTGTTATGTCCATGTTCGCTATGAGAAAGGTAGGATAGTGGTCAGTTGTTCTGTCGTAGATTATACCAGATACAAGGGGAGCTGTTATGTTTGTCCATATGTGGTCCAAGGTAGTGGCTGATGTTTGAGTGACTCGGGTAGGTTTGGTGATAGTGGGGATTAGCATACAGGAGTTCATGCTGTTAAGGAAATAGTCAACTTGAGAGCAATTTTATTGACCCAGGTCAATATTAAAGTCTCCTCCCAGAATGATGTGGTTTTTGTTGAGATTGTTGTTTATAATAAGATTCCTTAGGTTGTCTGAGAAAGAAGCTATGTTAGTATTAGGAAATCTATAGATGGCTCCAATAGTCAAAGAGGATTTAAGGGATTTAATTGTAAACTGAGCAAAAGTATATTCACAGTAGTCATCTCTGTCACTAATAACACTGTTGCAGATAAATGTATCTCGGTAATATATAGCTGTGCCACCACCTTTTTTATTAGGCCTACAGTTATGAATGGCTTTATAACCAGCTAAGTTGTAGAGTTGGGTATAGTCTTTATTTAGCCAAGTTTCTGTTAAAATAATGAACGATAGGTTAGTACCTAGTGCTGTGAGTAGTGCATTTAAATCGTCAAAATGTTTACCAAGTGATCTAACATTTTGGTTATAAACTGATAGATAGGTGCTATTTTGGAGTTTGTTTTTAGCCTGGTGTGCTGTGAAATACTTGCAATAATGATGATCAATGTGCTGGTTGGTATAGATATGAGACAGAAGATTTTGATCAGGATCAATATCAGTGTGCATAGAGATGCAGAGGGATCACGATACAAGATACACGATAAAGCAAAACACAAGAATAAGA